TGCCCAGGCTGGAGTGCAATGTTGCCATATCAGCTCCCAGGTTGAAGCGATCTCCTGCCTCAGCCTCCCGAGTAATTGGGATTACAGGTATGTGCCACCACAACCAGCTAATTTTTTGTCTTTTTAGTAGAGATGGGGTTTCTCCACGTTGGTCAGGCTGGTCTCAAACTGCCGACCTGAGGTGATCTGCCCACTTTGGCCTCCCAAAGTGTTGGGATTACAGGTGTGAGCCATCGTGCCAGCCATCATTTATTTTTGTTTTTATTATTTTTTTAAGAGACCAGGGCTCATCATGGTGCCCAGGCTGATGGGCTCAGGCAATCTTCCTGCCTTGTCCTCCCAAAGTGCTGGGATTATAGGCATGAGTCACCTTGCCCAGCCCTGATTTTTTTTTTTTTTTGATAGTACAAATTGAATAGTACTCTTCTTGGCTGCCCATCTGTGCTGCACCTAGAGACTCCAAGTTCTATTAACCATTTCTGTAACTCTTCCATAAGGGACAGGCCCACTGGCTACTACATACTTTTCAAAATTACATCAGTATTCTTATCAATCCTTATTTGTTTGTCTGTTTTGAGACAGTCTCACTTTGTTGCCCAGGCTGGAATACAGTGGCTTGATCTTGGTTCACTGCAACCTCTGCCTCCCAGGTTCAAGTGATTCTCCTGCTTCAGTTTCCTGAATAGCTGGGACTATATGTGCACGCCACCATGCCTGGCTAATTTTTATATTTTTAGTAGAGATGGGGTTTCTCCATGTTGGCTGGCTAGTCTATAACTCCTGAGCTCAAATGATACACCCACCTCGGCCTCTCAAAGTGCTGGGATTACAGGTGTGAGCCACTGCACCCGGCCCTTATCAATCCTTATTGATTCAAAGATTAACAACTAGAGAATCTAGCTGAAGTGTTTATAAGTTTTCATTGTATTGTTTCCATTTTTTTGTAGATTTCAACATTTCCAAAATAACAGGTAATGGAACAAAGGTAAAGGCTATGAATAAATATTGAAGCTAGCAATAAGAATTATTAACAATATATTCTTTTAATTCCTTTACTACCCAACACTGGTAAGTCTGTTGTGACATGTTGATACTACACTTTTTGGAGAGCAACATTAATTCCAATTTGTATAAACAGTCAAAACTGTGTTTGTATCCTATAAACTATTTAATTCTACTGATGAAAAATTTTCCTAAGGGAATTATCTAAATAGGAAAACACATTTCTCACAAACGTATGCATTAGAACATTATAATACAAAACTGGAAATTACCTAAACATGTAACCACTGGGAGCTGGGTCAGGGTTATGTGTAACATAACAGCAAGTTTAGAGTTAGGGTTATGTGAAGTGGCCTAAAGAAAACCAAAGCACGCCGGGCACGGTGGCTCACGTCTGTAATCCCAGGACTTTGAGAGGCCAAGGCTGGCGGATCACGAGGTCAAGAGATCAAGACCATCCTGGCCAAGATGGTGAAACCCCGACTCTACCAAAAATACAAAAAAATCAGCCAGGCATGGTGGCACGCGTCTGTGGTCCCAGCTACTCTGGAGCCTGAGGCAGAAGAATCGCTTGAACCCAGGAAGTGGAGGTTGCAGTAAGCCAAGACTGCGCCACTACACTCCAGCCTGGTGACAGAGCAAGACTCCGTCTCCAAAAAAAAAAATAATAAAAATAATAATAAGAAAATAAATAAATAAATAAATAAATGCAAGCCAGCCTGCCTGCCTCCCTCTAAGTAAATCAATCAATCAATCAATCAATCAATAAGTAAATGAAAAAGAAAACCAAAGCAGAGTGAGGGGATAATGGGTAATGGGAACGGCAATTTAGATAGGGTGATCGAGGAAGCCCTCTTTTAGGAGATGACTTTGGAACAGAGTCCTGAATGAAATAAGGAAAGGAAGTATGTGACTCTCTCATTTATTACGCGAATGTGTGCTAGTTATGGTGCTTGTTAACTGCATCCTTTTGGTTCTTAGTCACACTTCTTTATATGGGTACCGAACTATTTATATTTCTATGACTTAGTATGCCAACCAGATTTTACAGTCAGGGAAGGAAGTGCCTGTACTTCCTGTGTCCTTTAAATATCCTCCACTGATTACACAGTTCCCATTACTAACTTAGTACTTGGATGGTTTCTGGTAGGTTCGGTAAATGAACTTGGAATCTTAAGTCCTTTGAAGAGCAATAAAGAATAATAGAGAGTAAACAGAGAAAAAGGATAGAAAAATAAAACATAAAATTTCAGCTCTGTATATTTAAGATTGGCAGAATCAAAACAACCACATACACACATACATAAAAACCTAATCATTAAACCTTTGACAAGGTAGAATCTCAAATAGGCAAAGACACATGAATGGTTATAAAACACATGCAACAAAGCATATGCAAAAGCAGAGATTTTCCTGAAACTCTGTGCTTCAAAAAAAAAATAAAAATGTTGAAAACTATTTAAAAAATGGAAAGAAACTAATCCGTACAAGAATAGAGCATCCATAAGTATTGTAAAAGTATAAGTCTTGTTTGACTGATCAAGAGAAAACTTAATGAAAATGAAAACTGTTTAAAAAAAGTTTTAAGCTGGGCTCGGTGGCTCACGCCTATAATCCCAGCACTTTGGGAGACGGAGGTGGGTGGATCACGAGGTCAGGAGATCAAGACCATCCTGGCTAACACGGTGAAACCCTGTCTCTACTAAAAAAATACAAAAATTTAGGCGGGTGTGGCGGCACGTGCCTGTAATCGCAGCTACAGGGGAGGGTGAAACAGGAGAATCGCTTGAACCTGGGAGGAGGAGGGTGCAGTGAGCCGAGATCGCGACACTGCACTCCAGTCTGGGCGACAGAGCAAGACTCCATCCCCCCCGCCAAAAAAAAGATTTTAAGAACATCATTAGTTTTCAGTCCCATGTAGGTATTTCCTTGCCAAGTTCATCGATTTTTTGCTGTTATGTAACAGCTTCATGAAAATAGGACATCTGAGGCTGGTGCAGTACCTCACATCTGTAATCCCAGCACTTTGGGAGGCCAAGGTGGGTGGATCACAAAGTCAGGAGTTTGAGACTAGCCTGGCCAACATGGTGAAACCCCATCTCTATTAAAAATATGAAAATTAGCCACGCATGGTGGTGTGCACCTGTAATCCCAGCTACTCAGGAGGCTGAGGCACGAAATCAGTTGAACCAGGAGACGGAAGTTGCAGTGAGCCAAGATTGTGCTACTGTACTCCAGCCTGGGTGACAGAGTGAGACTCCATCTCAAAAGAAAGGAAGGAAGGAGGGAATAAGAGAGGGAAGGAAGGAAATGAGAGAGGGAGGGAGGGAGGGAGAGAAGGAAGAAAGGAAATAGGACACCAGGAATGGTGGCTCATGCCTGCAATCCCAGCACTTTGGTAGGCCCAGGCAGGGGGACTGCTTGAGCCCAGGACTTTGAGACCAGCCTGGGGAACATGGTTGGCTCCCCTCTACCTCCCCGCATCTCTGCAAAAAATAAAAAAATTAGTCAGGCATAGTGGCCCATGCCTGTAGTCCTAGCTACTTGGGAAGCTGAGGTGGGAAGATCCCTTGAACTCAGAAGGTCAAAGCTGCAGTAAGCCATGATCATGTCACTGCACTCCAGCGTGGGTAACAGAGTGATACCTTGAAAAAAAAAAAAAAAAAGAAAGAAAGAAAGAGAAAGAAGAAAGGGGCTGGACGCGGTGGCTCAAGCCTGTAATCCCAGCACTTTGGGAGGCCGAGGTGGGTAGATCATGAGGTCAAGAGATCAAGACCATCCCAGCCAACATGGTAAAACCCTGTCTCTACTAAAAATACAAAAAAAAAAAAAAAAAAAAAAAAATTAGCTGGGAGTGGTGGCGTGCGCCTGTAGTCCCAGCTACCAGGGAGGCTGAGGCAGGAGAATTGCTAGAATTGCTTGAACCCGGGAGGCAGAGGTTGCAGTGAGCCGAGATCGCACCACTGCACTCCAGCCTGATGCCTGGTGACAGAACAAGACTCTCAAAAAAAAAAGGAGAAAGGAAGGAAGGAAGGAAGATAGGAAGAAAATAGGAAATCTATGCTGTCTCTTTGTCTCTTCAAAGAAGGTAACCCGACACCAGCAACGGAAAATATCAATGCCATCAACTGGAATTACTTTGGATAGTCTAAGTAACCATAGATAGTCTTTGTAAGTAGAAATCCACTTACCTGTTTATCTTTTATAATTCTATCTACTTTAAAACCTAGTAGAGCTAAGCCCACGAGACAAAAGCTTTCATTAATCACTTCTGATATTCAGGTAAACCAAAACATATGAACAGGCAGTAGCTTTGGGTTCTTATACAGCCTCAATTATGTGTTAGTCAACTCAAGCATCCATTATGTACTCAATAATAGGTATGACACAGCTCTGGACCTCAGTAACACTGTAAGCAGACAGGCACGATCAGCCTGCATACACTCCTTTTCCCGGCGTCAACATTATTAAGAAGCATGAGAAATAGTAATGAGACAGTGTCTTCTTCATTAGAACCTTGGGAATCTCCTAGATTTTTTCATCTATATTTGTAGTAGCCAGATTGTGCAAAAAACACGGTCTTGAGAAATGATAGCACAGTATCTTAGAGGGAAAGGAAATGTAAGATGCCAGTGTGGGGACAAATTTCTGATTGCCAGTGATTGTTGTGAGCTTAATAATTTCGTGAACATGAAATCCTCTACTGAAGACAGCAGCAGTTGTAAAGGCAAAAAAAATGAAACTTTAAAACTACACTGGTGTACATCATAATCAAATAAAGTAAACATAAGAAAAAAATTTAAACTTTGTTAAAAAAACAAACAGGAGAAACAGCTGGTCTTTAAGAAGGCACGAGGTTGCTTATTATGAAGCATTTCTAGAGTCCGGTGCATTTTCAAAGCTGGTTACAGTATCACCAAAGCACACCCTTGTGAGGTAAGTGTATCATCACCTTTGGTTCATAAATAAAAAAAGCTGAGGCGCCGAGTGATTAAGTCACTTGCCTAAGGAGAATGAGTCAATGTCAAGAGTCATAGTTGACCCAGCCTAACGACTCCAGACCAGCAGTCCAGGGCTTAGTCAGCGGGGCCCGGAGTGGCTTCCCTGGCTGGCACCTGGACTTAGGCTATTTCCGTGCACGTTAAAGCAGAATATTGGAACGGTTGCACAGAGCTTCCAAATAATTTTTACTGCCACGCAAGATTTAGCCCTGAGGTCCTAATCTCAGGATTTGGGATAGGAAAAGCTGTCCTCTCCTCCACTTCGCCCCAGGCCGGTAGCAAGCAGATACAGCGGGCGGTTCTGCCCATCCCTTTTCGCAGAGATGGCAACGAGTGACCACCAGCATTAGCGGAGCCGGGGAGAGGGGAGGGTTGATTATTGCCTAAACGACTCTGCATCGCTGCCTCTTTTTGAAACTAAGAGAAAATGGTGGGAGCTCAAAAGAAAAGTAGGTAAACACACAGGCAACTTGTCCGGGGACCTCGACTAAGCAAATGAAGCCTAATTGTGTGTGCTAAGCCTGCAGTTCCCAACCTTCCGGGGAAGATGGGAGGACAGGGCGACAAGGGCCACAGAAGGCATGCCTCGCAGTAAATGTGACCGCAGCTATTCAGGCGGAAGACCTGAGGACTGCAACTACCCTCCAGCACGCGAGTGTCCGCCGCGCTGCTACCCATCGACCACGTGACTAGTCTTTTTTAAAAAAAACTTCTTTGCCTTAAAAAAAAAAAAAAAAAAAAAAAAAAAAGGGGGTGGGTGGGGGAGAGACTCCACTTCCCAGAAGCCTCTCGTTACCCACGCAGCCGCAGTCTTGCGCAGGCGCCGCCAGGGCCAAACGGACACGTCTGTCACGTGGCCAGTAGCTGGCCAATCCGGTTTGAATCTCATTTTTTTCCTCTCTCACCCCCCCTTCTGGAGCGGTTGTGCGATCAGATCGATCTAAGATGGCGACTGTCGAACCGGTGAGTATTGCCTTTAGCCCCCACCCCCACGGGTCCCCGCGCTCCGTCTCTCTTCCGACTGGGGGAGTCCACGGGACTGCGTTCCCGGCGCGCACTCTACCCTTCGTCGCCCCCTCCCCCTCATGTTGGACCTGAACTCCCGCGGACAAGTGGGGAGGTCCCGCAGGCTGGCCGAGGCGGCGTGTAGCGCACACTTTCTGGTGGGGGCCCGAGAGCTGGGGGAGCGGTGTGGGGGAGGGGCGGCGTGGCGCCTCCCGTGGAGCCGCGAGGTATCTACAGGGTGGAGGGTAGCTGGGGCTCTGTGCTGGGTGTGTGGGGATGGTGTCTTCCTGATCGGAGGGCGCGGGGCCGGCTCCCAGCGAGCACTGGTATCCGCAGGCAGGGTGGGCGGCGAGCCGGCCTGGAGTGAGTTGGAGGAGGGAGCTCCGGGGAAGCCTTTCCCTTCCTCCAGAGCTCCAGCCCCTGGGCTCGGGTGTGGGGCGCGCGCACGTCTTCCTTAGCCGGGTTGACTGGGGAGCCGGTGGACGAGTGTTGCCGGAGGGTGGGTTAGGCGGGAGTGGTACGGTTGCACGCACGCAGGAGCTTCGATCTCGCCTCGGGGAGTTGAGAGGGGCGAATGCCTGTTAATCCACGGTGCTGGAGAGTTGGAGGGGTTTGCGCCAGGGGAGGCGAGAAAGATTTGGGGTGGGGAGGAAGACTCCTGTCTCACGGTCAAGCTCTCCAAGTAGAATTAGGGATGGTGGTGTGAGAAGGGGTATCACATTGTCCTCGCCCCTCCATGCTTGGGACTGGGCTGTCATGGAGGAGGGAAGGGGGTGGAGCGAGGCCTACTGATCGCTTTAGCGGGTCGGCTAGCCGGCCGGACCTGCTGCATTTCACACGCGCCGGTCTTCCATTCATTCATCCTTTCCGCGCAGTGCGCACGCCTCAGAGAATGCGAATGGGTCTAGAGCCCTCTGTTCTTCGAGTCTTTATCGCCTGGAAGATTTCTGAGACGCAGTTTATTGGAAATAGAAACTTTTAAATTTACTTTTCCATTTGATTTTTTTTTTCCTCTTTATCCATGCTACAGGCTTTCCTTTGAATTTAGGCACCGTTTTAAACTTAACTGAAGGAAGTTGGTCCCAGGGTAGAAGGTTTGTAATTACTCTTAAAGCAGAGAGTATTTTTTTTCTTATTTTGGTTTGCCAGTACCGGCTCACTGAAACTTCTGGGCCCCCGTTGCCTTTTTAGAAATGACACAGCTAAGTGACAGTGTCTTGGGTACATAATGGAGTTTATTAGCAATCAGAAAATCTTTCACACTCTGGAACCAGCTAGAACTTGGTTGCCAGATACTTTTGTGTCTTTTGATGGTAGCCTGTGGTTTCGCTAATGGTTTACCAGTTTGCTTTGACTTTTAAAGACTTTTATAAAATGATTTAAAAACTCTTATAGACTACACAGAGGCTTATTTTTCATTGTGTTGGTGTAAACTCTGCTTACCTTGTCAGAATTCAAGGCAGCTTTTTTGCTTGCTTGCTTTTTTTTTATTGGCACCAGTTTTCATTTATGTTCCTGGGAGTTAGATCGAAAAACTCTTTAAGTTGTTGATATAGTAAACTAACTTTAGGACATTAATGCTACATAACACTGATGAAGGATAAGTTAAACCCTTTTGACAGGTTCTGATGTCCACTTTTGACTAGATCTCTTCCCCACTATACTGGTGTCAGTACAAAGCATTACATCTGGTAATAGGAGCAAGGCTACAAGTCTGCAAACTACAAAACAGTAATGAATTCTGTTAAGTTTCTGTCACATTGAGATCCCTTGGATTTTGCAGTTAATGCAGTTTTGTTTCAGCAGCACAGAACAGAACTACAAAGCGATGAAGGACTATTTTGAGCTAGTAAATATTAAAAGCTCCTGATATATCCAAGGTCTTGTACCAAGTGTTCTTTAGGATATAAAGTGATATAAGATGTGACTCTATACCTTGTCGAATGTAAATTCCTAAGGATTTACTTAATTCCTAGGGGTGTGGTCAGTGATACAGTGTTTGTTCTGGTGCAGACTGGGAGATTTGGATGGTACATTTAAATTTGGGGAATAGGGGAACCTGAAAACAAAGTGTGTGAAGGTGGAAACTAAAGTATTTTGAAAATGTATATAAAATAGTATCAAAATGTTTATTTTTAGTGGGAAATGAAAATTTTTAGTACTTTTAATGTACCCTTGTCCACAGGCTAGTTACGTAGAATTATTTTTGGCAGTTTTAAATAGTTGGATTTTGTGTGTGGAGGGGGTGCAGGATCTTTCTCTGTTACTGGGGCTGGAGTGCAGTGGTGTGATCCTGGGCTCAAGAGATGCTCCCATCTCAGCCTCTTGTGTAGCAAGAACTACAGGCGCTGGCCACCATGCCCAGGCCACCATGCCCGGATAGTTTTTAAATTTTTTGTGGAGTTGGAATCTCGTGATGGTTACCCAGACTAGTCTCAAACTCCTAAACTAAAGTGATTCTCCCACCTTGGCCTCTCAAAGTGTTGGGATTACAGGTCTGAGCCACCAAGGCTGGCCTGGATTTATTTTTGAAGCAACTGGTAAGAATTGGATTGTACCTGAGGTACAATCCTGCAAAAGTCGTGAAGCCTGCAAAAGTCATGTTTTTTGTTACTTCAGCTAACGTGTGAGCTTCCATAATGCTTTTCTACTGTGCGTGATCATAAACACTTAAAAAGAACCATATGTTTTTCCTGCCTATCCCATTATTCATAGGTATCTCGATGATTTTTTTCCATGGACATGACGTAAACTATTTTCACCTTGATATTGTTGTGTGTTCTTCTCTTTGTATGAGTTCAGTTACGGAAGATGTGGCCCACAGATATTAAATTTGTTGAGAAGCTTGAAAGAGAAAAACATTTTACCTCTTAACAGATAATTTGGCAAAAATTTAAACATTAGGACAAAGAATACTCTGCTATTATTCTATTGGCATTTGAATTGGGGCTAGGTCAAAATTAGGTTTAATACCAGTGTGTGAAAATGGCAAGGCAGTTTCCTTAGGCCATCTTACCTCTAGTGGGTCTTGTTTCTTTGTAGCTTTCTCTTTATTCTACATCCTTCAGTATTAGAATTAAATTTTTTTTGTAGTTCCTTTTGAGGTAAGAGATTAATTTTGGTTTCTTTAGCTTAACTGAAGGTATATAATTTTTAGTTCTTGAATTTTTTTTTTTTTTCCCAAAGATGGGGTTTTACCATGTTGGTCAGGCTGGTCTTGAACTCCCGACCTCAGGTGATCCGCCTGCCTTGGCCTCCACCAGTGCTTGGATTACAGGTGTGAGCCACTACGCCCAGCCTAGCTCTTGAATTTTTTAAAAGTCTGTTGATTTCATAAGTAAATCAACTTGGACAATCAGCTGATCTAATGCTTTTTTATACTTTGGAAACGTGCTTTGTACTATGCAGTTTATTAATAAGAGTAAATAAGGCTTAAATACATATTGACAAATACATGTTGTGCTGTTTAATTCATATTAATGAACTATTGAATGCCAAGCAGACTGCAGATTAATTTTTTTTTCCTTAGTGAAAGAACCCACAATATCAGAGTTCCTCGATAATCCACATAAATTTGGTTCTGGTGTTCCTACTCTAAATTTCTTCAATTAAAAGAAAAAATATACCAGCCTGGTGTGGTGGTTCATACCTGTAATCTCAGCATTTTGGGAGGCCCACGCAAGTGAATCACTTGAGGTCAGATGTTTGAGACCAGCCTGGCCAATATGGTGAAACCCTGTCTCTACTAAAAATACAAAAATTAGCTAGGCGTGGTGGCAAGCACCTGTAATCCCAGCTACTGGGGAGGCCAAGGCAGGAGAATTGCTTGTACCTGGAGGTGGAGGTTGTAGTGAGCTGAGGTCATGCCACTGTACTCCAGCCTGGGCGACAGAGTGAAACTCCATAAAAAAAAATATGTATATACCAAATTTCACACTTCATTTTATAATCTGAGTTAATATACACAATTATTAGACTTAGAGAAATTCAATGTAGACGCTCAGTTTACACACAGAAGTTGCAGAAGGGATAATATGCAAAATGAATTGTGTAAGCTTACTCTCATTTGGACAGAAAACTGTAGGAAAAAAACATTTAAGTAAAATATTGTTTAATTTACATAAAGTGAGGAATATGATAGAAGTACCAGTATCCCTGGACATAACAAGTAACCTGTGAAATGTTCTAGCAATGGTAATTTCTACTTTTCCTCCTTTGCTACCATTGGAAATTTCCTTAATCTGTTAGTACCAGTGAGTTGCACCATTTTAGTCAGAGACTTTTGTGAGAAGTGGAAATGAGCATGGGTTATAGTCTTATTTTAAAATCTGAGTTATCTTGAAGACTGAAATTTCTTAGTTGGAATAAAATATTTTATGGTGATTTCAATTTTTAAATGCCATATTCAAAGATAATAGTTTGTTAACTGTAAGGAACTAGATAAAGTTGACATTCTATGAATGTTTTATACTCAGATATATCCATGCATTTACATATCATTTTCCTTCTTTTCTAGGAATTTCACATCGCTGCTTTTTAATTATCAATCCTTTACCATTAGCAAGAAATGCAAAGCCTGTGACTCAGAATCCTCAGATGCTCTCCTATCCCTACCATAAAAATCACTAGTGTTCCTTCATAAGTCCTTAATCATGGCTGCAGGAAAAGAAACGGGCTGGACTTGGTGGCTCATACATGTAATCCCAGGCTTTGGGAGACTAAGGAGGATCACTTGAGCCCAGGAGTTTGAGACCAGCCTGGGCAACATGGCGAGACCCTATCTCTCCAAAAAAAAAATTAGCTGGATGTGATGGTGTGCCCCTGTGTCCCAGCCACTGGGATGGCTGAGATGGAAGGATCCATTGAGCCTGGAGGTCAAAGCTGCAGTGAGCTGTGATCACATCACTACACTCCAGCCTTGGTGACAGAAAGAGACCCTATCTAACCAAAAAAAGAAA